CCACTCTAACTATTATATCATTGGTTATCATTGTAATATTATTTAATATGTGAAAATAGGGGAAAAATAAAAAATTTTTAAATTTAATGGGAGAAAGTTCCCTCCCCGAACCAAACACCGCCCGAAGTTTGGTTAAAGTAGTTAAGCCCACGGCCCAGTTCTAACACTATCACACGTTGCACTAATACACACGTGGGTACCCATTTTTCCCGAAATTACACTCTGGAATTAGCGAAAACCCACCGTCTCGTCTTCGAAGCTGAATCCAGAAAGAGGGAAGAGCGAGCTTTTCTGCCATGGCGATGAACAACGGGATTAAATCTGCCTCGAAGTTGCTGGCCTCTTCTCAATCGCTTCTTTCGAAGTCAGGTGGGTTTTTGTTTTTGGAGATTTGGGTTTATTCGAGTAGATAATGAAACAATGGAATCTATGTATTGGGTTGTTTGTGTTCTTTGGATGCGAAGGCATTAAAGCTTGCGTTTTGATTTGGATAGATCTGATTAAAGATGTAAAGTGGTGATTTTGAAACCGATGTTTGCTAATTGCTTGTGCTGTGTTATTAGTCAATTTTTGAGAATTGATTGGTTATGTTGAAATAAAATGTATGATTTTGGGGGGATATGTGTGTTGAATGTATGAGAATTGATTGCTTTGACTAAACAAGAATGTGGGGATGTTGTGATAATTTAAGGGTTGGAATTTAAGCTCGCAAGGGGGTTTCATCCAATGGTGAATTTTCTTTGGCTTGGTGCCTTTGTGTTGATTTTTTATTTTTCTTTGATTTGTTTGAAAATCCAAATTTAGTGGAATATTTTGTTGGAATGTGTTATTCTATTGGATATTTTGGAGGTGCATTATGGCCATTTCTTATTTCCATTGCTCTTGAAACTTCTGGTTAAATAACGAGTCGGTTAAGGACTTGATATGGGCTGTAGCCTGTAGGAACGATGTAAATTGAGATGAGTACGCAATTATAATGCAGCATGAAGATTTTAACTGAACCTGAGCTGAATGGGAATGGTATCCTTGACTGATAGTAAAGTTGAAGGCCAATGCAAGAAATTGCAATGTTTTGCTTCTCCAGTTTTGAGTTATGAAGAAATGTTGTTAAAGCTTTGACTGATGAGACTACTAAATGGTGTTGCTATATCTGGGCTTGATTATTATTATTATTATTATTATTATTTTTTTTTTCTTATGGGCGTGGATCTATTTAATATGATTGATTTGAAAAAATGAGCAAAATGGTGACCTAAATAAATTGTAGTAATAAAATTTAGATAGAAGGATTTTGTTGATCCATTTATGAGACAAAGATGATTCTTTTGTCTTAGGAGCATGCTGTAGTAGTTGGTTTCTGTCTGTTAATGAGAATGTGGTCCTGATGCTTGTTGAATGTATGATGAATTTTGATATCAAAAATGATTCCTCAAGATCAATCTGCAATTCTTAGGTTACTCTTTAAAATTTTAATGCCACAGGCATTCTTTCTCTGTGGCACAGACTTGTTTTGTGAGATTGCTTATTGCTTATTCAAAATCTGAAGTGAATGGGCCTTGTTT